AAAAGCCTTGGGTTATTACAACTTTTGAATACAGTGCTCCTTTCTAGGTTTTCTAAAAATTAAGATAAGACATATAATAAAATAGTAAACAACATACATTCATCATTCGGGAGGGGAACTATCCTTATGCTCGATCTCCTCCACCGATTCTCAGCCCAAGGATATTTGGCTGCTCCCGGACAGCCTCTGGCTAGCTGGTTCTTCCCAGGCAAGGACGGAGGAAGGGAAGGGCCGGGATTTCTTGGGAAAGCAGCTGGAAGCGAAGGTTGCTGAGCAACTAGTCTTAAATAGAGGACTCCCTGCGTTTCCTTCTGGATTAAATTGGGAGACTCCAAGAAGAGTCCATCAAGTGCCAAGGTCAACCCCTTCCTTCTGCCCACCTTCTGTGGCTCTGCTGCCCCCGAGTCCCCGCTGACCATCCCAGGGATGCTTCCTCGGATGCTCCTGCCATTACCTTTGGCCGGAACTGAAGCTCCCTGGACAGTTGGGGGTCCAGTTCTGCTGGTTCCTGCTCAGCAGCTCCTCAAGTAGCCAAAGGAAGCCACCGTCCCGCGGTCCCTTTCCTCCCCCCGAGGAGGCCCGCAGGATGCCAGGAGGGCTGGAAAACGCCGTGTGCTCAGAGCCCCTAATGGAAACAGATGAGCTGGGCCCACGGGGGCCGTTCACAGCCCTCTTTGTCAGGGCGACGTTGAGCGATGACGGCCCCGCGCAGGCCCTTTTCCAATAAGTCCCCCCTGTCAGCCGAGAGACGGATGGGCTCCTCGGAGGGGACGGCAGGCCGGCCATCCGTCATCCGTGGCTCGGCTTAAAGTTTGGGAAGGCAGCGTGATCCCCAGCCCACGGGCGGCCCTGCCACTTGCCAATCCGGGTCTCCTGGCACGGCAGCCGTCCTGCACGGAGGGGGCAGAGAGCCCAGGTGATTTACGGCCGGCTCTTCCTAATTGCATTCCAGCCGGCAGGAAAATGGATGGACTCGTCTGCCTGATGGATGGCTCACCCAGGCCCTCATCCGCTTAGGTGGCCTAAGACGGGCCTAATACGGGCGGGGGGGCTGCTGCAGGAGGAGGACCTGTCTAGGCCAGGACTCCCCCCCCCCTTCCCAGCTTTGGGGGGGGAGGGAATGGACCTCTGTGAGCGGCAGGTGCGTGCAGCGCTGTTTGCACAAATGGAGCTTCACACGTGCACATGGGGATGTCCACTGCTCGTGCCAAGGGCGCTGCACACCTGCGCATGCCTTCTGCTTGTGTGGCCCGGTTCCGAAGGGGCCGCGGGCCAGGCAGCCCTGGTCTAGACCAGCAGGATAAGGGGGGGCGGCTGGTGCAGAAGCCCAGCGGGTGGCAGAGGAGAGGCAGCCTGCGAGGGGCCTCGGGGTCTCCTTGGCTGGGAGAAGAGCTCTGAGTGGCTGGGCAAGGGGCTCCAGAAGAGCCGCATGTGGGCCGTCCTTGCCCCAAAGATGCTCCCGGGGGCCCCAAGAACGGAAGAAGCTTCTTGGATGAAAAGCGAAAGGCCTTCCAGGGAAAAAACCCAAGGAAGCTCAGTTGCCACTTGTGGATAATGTCTGGGGACGCCCCCCCCCCAAACCCTTTGAGGTTTACTCCTTGCTTTCTCCGGGGAGTGGAAAGGAGGAGGAGCAGTCCGAGCAGGTACACCATACAGCTTTTAATAAAAGTTACAACAGGAGGATATACCTATGTACAGTTCAAATCCACATGCTACTATTTAACGCAGGTTAATTGGTCGACCCCCAGAGCCCCCCCACTTTACCTGCTGAATCCAACAGCTGCCTTGCCTGGCCAGGGAGGGTCCCTTATGCGAATCCCAAGTTTTGTGCAACAGCTTGTGCCAAAAGAAAAAAAGTCACCTGTGTTCCCCCACCTTAGTTTTAGAAATATCCACCCGGAATAGCTAACCGGAAAAGTCCGTTTCTGTCTGCGGAGAGAAGAACGTTGTGTGCACATAATTCATGAAGGGCCTGTGGAGAAGCTGGGGGGTCGCAGGGCGTTGTGGCTGAATCCAAGGGGGTTTCCCTTTTGCAAGGCTCTCCCGGTTTGTGGCCAGTTAAGCCACTGCAGCCACCGATTCAAAAAGTCACCTGCACATTTGATTCCAGGGAAGCTCGAAATGTGGAGGTTGAGAAAACTCCTCGGAAGAGGGAAGCTGGAGGGAGGGGGGAGGAAAGGCCAAGGGGGGCTCCTGCGATGGGGAAGACAAAGGGGGCTTTAAGAGACAGAGGACGGGGGAGACCCTTCCCCTTTGGGCCGGGACTCCCCAACTGTGGCAACCTTGAGGTGCAGGGCTGGCTGAGGAATTCTGGGGGTTGAAGCCCCAGGGCTTAAAGCTGCCAACGCTGCCCCCCCCCCCCCACTTCAGACGAGGCATTTCAGCCAAGGGCAAATCCTGGCTGCGAGCTCGGAGGGCACAAGAAGGGATGGATGGGCAGAGAGAGGGGAGTGGGGGAGACCCCCTTCCCAAGGGGCAGCCCTAGAATATCCGAGGGGATTCCTCTCCTGGGTGAGGGGGAAGAGGCACTACAAGCCGGGAGTTTTACTTAGAACCGGCTGGGGAGGGCAGGGGCCAGCCCCAAAGAAGCCACCAATAGCCAAAATGGGGCGGCCACAGCAGGAGCCGGGCATGCTCCCTACAGCCGCTCTCCTGGGGGCTGCCTGGGCTGCTGCAGAGACAGGTGAGCCCCTCGGCCCCTCCCTTTGGCAGGCCCATGGGGCACAGCAGAGCGGGACAAGATGCAGGGGGGAGGGGACCCCCCTTGTCCTTCTCTGGATAAGGCAAAGCAGGCGGCTGGGGGCTGGGCTCAGAAAGGGCCCCTTGAGGGAGGGCAGCTTTGGCAAAGGCCCTGGTCCTGCTCCCTTGGCCTGGGACCAGCAGGCACACCCATCCTCAGAGGTGCGTTTCCCTCCGTGCTGAGAGCCGCCTCACTGGGGCAGGTGACCCACACGGCAGGTTGGACTGGAAGGCAAGGAGGAAGGAGGATGATCAGTCCCAGGAGGCCTCGGGTGGCTCCAGCTGAACCAGGGCTGGGGGGAGGTTGGGGCCGGTCTTGGAGGCACTGAGGGTCTGGACGTGAAGCTGGACTCTGCAGAGCCTTCTGGGCCACCCCTCTGTCCTCCCAGCCATGTGGCCAGAGTGAGAGAGGAGGGACCCCAAGCCCCTTCCCCAACTCTACGCTTCTCTCCCAGAGGAGGCCCTGGAGAGGAAGGGCGGCCAGGAGGGGCGGTCAAGCCCCACAAGTGAGCTGAGGAACTCATCCAACCCAAGAGGGGCCTTTCTCTCCTCTCCTCCCTCCCTTCCTTCCTTCTCCAGGGGAGACCTGGACACTGGCCTCCGAGGGTCCCTCTCAGGACTGTTGCCATCCGCTGGGGCCGCCTCCCGTTGCTCAGCAGCAGAGGGAAGCCCAAAGGCAGGAGGGTGAGGGGCCCCCTGGGTCTGCTTGGTCAACGGGCCCTTCGGCCGGGGCTGGGCTTGTGCTGGGGCTCCTCTAAGGCACTTGTCCGGCCGCTCAGGGTCAGGGTCAGCCCTTGGGCAGCCAGCCAGCTGGACTGCCAGATGGGGAAAGGCCTTTGCCCCAACAGCCACGGTGGGGCGGTGCCAGCCACGGGCTCTTCCAGGGCTCTCCAAATGTGGCCTCTTTAGGACTTCAAGCAACGCTGGCTGGGGAATTCTGGGAGTCTTAAAGCGGGGGGGTGGGGGGTTTGCGGACCCCTGAGCGATTCCTTCAGGGTGGCCCCTTCCACACAGACCCCCAGGAAATGCCATTGGAGCCAGGGGCAACGGGGAAGAAGGACCCCATCCCCTCTGGCCACAAATCCCCACATCTGAGGTCTCCGGGTGGTCTGTGGGCCGACACTTTTGGGGAGGGGGCGGCTGCCCTGCTGCTTGGCACGAGGGAAGCTGACAGTCGCATCCAATGGGGGAGGATGTAATATTCCTCCCCATTCCAATTACGACTGCGACTCATTCGCCACACGGAAAGGGGGGTTCTTGGCACAAAGGCAGGCAGAAGGAAGGGGGGCCGGGGGGCCTATGGGTCAGGAGTCTGGGGGGCAGCAGTGGAAAAAGCCCAGAGGGAAACCGCTGCTCCCTTCCAAAGGATGGGGCTTCCGCTGCCTGGGCCGTCCACCATCCCGAATTCTTAGATCCGACGATGGTGGACAAAACCTGAGGCCCAAACGACGGATTCCACTTGCCAAGAGCTCCCTTCCTTTCGTTAAAAACTGGAGTTTTGGGTTTTTAAAACAAAGTTCTCTTTTTCCAAGGAGTTTATTTTAAAGCTCTCCGATTCCCTTTGTCTTAAGAGGAAAATGCTTCCCCTCCTGAGCTGCTCAAAGGATGAGAAATCAGATTTTTAAAAAATGGATCCCAGAGAAAGAGGGTGGAGGAGGAGGAGGAGGGGGGCACACATTTTGTTTTTTAAAAAAGAGTGATTTGTGTTTCAAATGCGGCCAGAGGAGGAAGAGGGGAAGGAGAGAGAATGGGGGCTGAAGGGAGGGGGGTCTGGGCACCCCACAGGGGTGTTTCTTGTCAATGTTTCCCTTTGAAAGTGTAAATTGTTCCCTTTAAACCAGAAGCGTCCAACTTTGGTCACCTTAAGACTTGGGGACTTCAGCTCCCAGAATTCCCCAGCCAACCAGACAGGCTGACCAGGGAATTCTGGGAACTGAAGTCCAAAACTCTTAAAGTGGCCGAGGTCGGACACCCTGCATTAGTGCTTCATTGCCAAGGTGCGTCTAGGAGCCCGGAAGTGCTGATGGGCCCCTTGGCCTTCCAGGGAGGCTCTCGGGGGCTCTGAGCTTCCAGCTCCAGCAGCAGTCTTTCCCAAGCGAGCCACCACTAAGCAGTCCCACATGCTGCATCCTCCGGCAGCCATGCTGGTTCCCTGGAGCCGCTGCGCCCGCTTCCCCATTGTACCTGGGCACAGGCCCCACCCCGCAAGCCCCCCTCCACCCACCCAGGGCCCCCAGGCGCCTCGTGGCCCCTCAGGAATGGTGGCTGGTGCTGATGAGGATACGCAGCTGCTTGGCCACGGCCTCAATCAGCTTCTGCTTGTCCCTCTCGTTCTTCCGGAACTGGGCGAAGACGCTGTTCTTGCGGCTGGTGTCCTTCATCCTGGGACAGGCAGGAAAAACACCCGTCAGGCAGAGGGACGGACACACAAACACACACACACACACAGGCAAAGCGGGGGCTCCTGAGCTACGGGGACTTTCCCTGTGCAGAGCTGGAGCAAAGGGGGTCGGGGGTCTCCCCGCCTGAAGCTGTGCCCGTCCCACCCGTGCCCCCCATGGGGAATGCTGGGGGCTGAAGTCCACCCGTCTTCATGTGGCCAAGGTGGCGAGAGACTCCCGTGGAAAGTCTAGGAGAGGAACCAAAGTGGGTGGCACCCCCTCCACCCGGGAGTGGGTTCCGGCAGCAGCCGCCAGGGCTGTACAGAGAGGCGCACAGAACGCTCCTATCTTCCCACCAAAGTGGTACCTATTTATCTACTCGCATTCGCCTGCTTCCAAACTCCGCCGGAGCTGAAGCAAGGACTGGAGCTCAGCGCCTCTTGCGGAGCTCGAGTCTGGAACCTGGGCCGTCAGCTTCCCCCTCCCCCCCCCAGGACAAGTTCAGGGGCTCCGACCGCTGACCGTAAACCAGAAGTGGGAAAATGCCGTTGCTGTGGATGGAGGCCCCCAGGCAGGGAGCCCGAAACCAACTGGCCAGAACCAACCCCTGGCAGGCTCTGCGGGGGCTCCACGCCACAAAGGGCCAGGGGAAACGGTGGGTCCCGTCCACACAGAGGGATCTCCATCCTTTGGCCCGATGTCTGTGGAGCTGCTCCGTCATCCAGGGTCATGGCTGCTTTTCCCAGAAGGCCCCAGGGGTTTTTCCTTCTTTCTCCTCCAAGAAGCTTCTTCAGTTCTGGCCGTAAGTCCAATGAGTGAGAACTGAAGAAGCTTCCTGGGTGAGAAGCGAAAGGTTTTCAGAGAAGAAAAGAAGGAACTCCCGTTGCCTTTTGGGAAAAGCCCCCTTGGGGGGGTGGGGGATGGAGGTCCGGGACGAGGCCTGGGCACCCCTGGCGTTTTGTACAGGCTGAGGATGCCGGAAAAGCCGCCCCGCGCATACTTACTCTCGGGAGATCCTGCCAGGAGGAGGGAGGGGCGGGCAGGGAGGAGAGATAAACCAAAGGAGAAGTTAAGCGGTGGCTGGCACAGCTGCCCTCCTGCTTCCTGCCTCAGCTGCTCCCGCCAAGGGCCCATGCAAGCTGCCCAGCAGGGAGAGAACGCGAAGGGACAGGCCTCGCAGGGGGAGTGTGGAGCACGGCCACGGAGGAAGGGAAGCCCTTTGGCTACTGGGCCTCTGCCCTACAGCCCCCTACTTGGTCCCAAAGAGCCCCAACGGCCACCCAGCCCTGCAGCCAAGCCAAGGGGGCCCATGCAAGCACCAGTGAGCGGCACTCCTTGGACAGCTCCGTCCCTTCCTGCCCCGCCCGGTCCAGGGGCCACCCAGGGAGGAACAGCAGAGCCCCGCAGAAAAGCCCCCGTGAGGGGGACCTCGATCCCTTCAGCAGGAGCCAGGCAGGACCCTCGGCTGCATTGAGAGAACCAAAATCACGGGAAGTGGGGCTTTCTAAAGCCTCAGTAAGGCCACCCCTGGACCCCTGCAGCCAGTTCTGGTCCCCACGTCACAGAAAAGACGCGGAGACTTTGGGGGAAGTGCCAGAAGGGCAGCTGAGAGGGTCAAAGGCCTGGAGACTGAAACACACGAAGGGCCCTTGCAGGGATCGTGTGGGGAGAGAGGAAAGGAGGGGGACACGAGAGCAGCACTCCGGTATTTGGGGACACAGCCAGGGGCAGCTGCAGCCCAGCCCCCCATGCAGCATCGCCATCAGCAGAAGCTCTCGTGCAAGGCCCCCCCCGCCCCCCCCCGCACAGGCAGCCTGGGCCAAGGGGCAGCAAGCGGGGCTCTGCCGGGGCCCGGAAGGAGAGACTCACTTTTCCAGCAAGGCCAGCGCGGTGGTGGGATTCACCCGGAGGTACTTGCAGGTGGGCTGCCCGTAGTCGGCCAGGTACGTCGACCAGTCCCACTGGAGGAAGAGGTCCAGCAGCTGGAAGAGGGAAAGGGGGCCACTGAGCGAGCCTTGGAAGGATTGAGAGCCTTCAATACCCCTAAAAGGGGCTTCCGGCCCCTCCCTCCCTCCCACTGGGACAGCCTGGCAGAAGGCAGGCGGCTGAACAGAGGCCTCCCCCTCCCTCGGGAGTCAACCCCAGGCCTCAGCCAG